GGTTTTTCACTTGTAGTCGTGAGGTCTTCGGGATGCCACGTTTTGACGTCTAGGCTCCTTTCGCTGTATTGTGACAGATGCTTTCAATTTTGTGGCAGTGTCGTCTGCGGCGGCAAAGGATGTTTGATGGTATGTCATCGAGCAACCGCACCTTCATCGGTTGCTGCTTTTAGTTTCTCGAATGAAGGCTCGGGGAACGGTCCCAAGAATGGCTGGTATACTGGTGGCGTTACGGTGAGATGTAGCGTCTTGGTGATGGTGAACGGTACAGTTGTCGAGGTGTCCGCTGCGCTCGTGCTAGGTAGTCGGCGATATTTCGAGATCGTTCACCCCGCTGTGTTTTTTGTGGTCAGTCTTTTTACAGCGAAAGCTGTTATGAAATCACAACTTGGGTCACGCGCGGCGGCGTAGTTGTCCGCCATCGCTGATGTCTATAACCACTATCGCACGAAATAAGGAAGAAAAAAAACCTAAACTTTCTTGACAGCAATTATGTGGCCAGCTTCCATGCAGCGGTAGCATAGTAGGCGGTGTTCAGGAGTGTGCCATATGTCGGTCTTTCTCGGCGTGTAATGCAAGCTCTGGAATAATCTCGCGTGTTTTGCGCGAAATCTTGACAGAATGATCAACAATAATGGCAAACCTTCTCGAACTATAAAGTGCAGTTTTCGCCGAGCATTCCTGACAGGCTTTGTGGTCGAAAACCAAATAAAACAAAAGTGGAAATAAGAAATGCACGTGGCAGTACTGAACACCTGGCTAGCACTTCAAGAGAATTTTACTGCCTTCAGCTTGTGCCAGATGTCAAAAGGTGGCAAGCAAGCCTCCCTTGAAGGCTATGCTTTACTTCTTAAGAATTGCCAAAATAAGTTTATCTCTCAAACTCAGCATGACCGCCCAAACAGTGATTGAGCATTGTACTTCTTGATAAATAAAACATTTATATATTGTGCATTCAACAGTTCAAACCATACCATGCTGATTATTGAAAAATTATTTCTCGCATCTCTGCATGTGCATTGAGGCAAAGCATCTATTTTAAGAATCAAATTCAGAAACACGAAATCTTCAATTTATGAACTTCAAGTCTTCAAACATTTTCTTACAATATTCTTTGTCAAATATTAAACTGCTTGAGGCCCTTGTTTTGGCAATATATTCAGTAAACTAAGTGCTCTAAGGAGCATTTTTTCATGAGATATGCTACGAATTTAGATGTTTATCTAGCTATTCATGAGAGCCCCATAATTATCCTGGTGTAAATGCAACTTGCTTCTCCCATGTACCTCAGAATGAAATAAGCTTCTCCAGGGTCCTGCTCCCAGATGAGAAATTGGCTGCTTCAAAATGACAGCTTTGATCCTCCAGAAATTGCCTAGTAAGAAGGCCTTGTTATCATCACTGCTTTAACTAAAGACGTGCATAAGTGCATAAAGGGGTACAGACATGTTTTATTATTATATTATTATTTTGAAGGCAACATTACTCTGCCATACAGATTTCCTGTATACGGTGCAGCTCTGAATAAGTGAGAAGCTTGGGAAATACTGATGAGATGTTTTGTTTTGATATGAAAACTTTTTTTTTCACTGTGCACCTATTGACATTGACAATACAGGGTACAGTTAGGCTACAGTACTTATTCTGGGGACTTTATGAGGCAGTCTGGCTAGTTGTTTCAATATAAAACTTCTAAAATGGTTGCTTGTACATTGTGAAAACACTCCGAATGGCTGCTTGTGTGTTACCAGTGGCACCACAGTGTGGGGTGGCCATTATTATTATTATTGGTATGTATGTATATATATATATATATATATATAAGAGATTAAGGGTATCATAGTTGAAATCTAGAAGAAGAAATGGACATGGGCCGGCAAGTAGTACGTAGACAGGACAACCACTGGTCATTATAGGTAACTAACTGGATTCCCCGAAAAGGCGAGCGGGTTAGGGAAAAACAGAAGGTTAGGTGGGCAAATGAGAATAGGAAGTTTGCGGGTGTAAATTGGCAGCAACAAGCACAGGACCGAGTTCATTGACGGAACATGGGAAAGGCCTTTGTCCTGCAGTGGACGTAGTCTGGCTGAATGATGATGATGATGATGACGACATTCCCCAATAGAAATATAACTGTAAATGTCAGACTTCTGAATGACAAACATTGTTGCCAGGCTTTCACAAAACTTTCTGTGCCACTCACTTCACCTATAAGCCTGCCTAAAGTGGCTAATATATTAGCTACAAACATTTCTTGAAATATCAGGTGATGCTTGGTTGCATTAGTCCCCAATTAGAATGTAGTTTCGATTATGGCGGTCTTTTAGGTAAACAATAGTGTTGCCAGAATTTCGAAAATGACTTTGCACTCACTCAATTCATATTTTGAACTCTAAAGCAGCTTTGAGAGGTGTATAATTGGTTACAAACACTTATGGTGCATTGGGTATTATTAGTTCGCATTACTACCCCAATTGAAGTATAGTTTTGAATGTTGCCAGACATTCAAGTAAGCGACAATGTTGCTGAACATTTACAACAATGTTTTGTCCTATCAGTGGTGTATTTTAATTCTGCATTTCTTATCAGGAAGCGGCATAAAATCGCAAAGAATACCTGTTTATGCCACTCTGACTCCGGAAGCACATTGCTAATTTTGGTTTCAAGAACATGCATCTTTGTTGTGGTTGCCAGACATCCTGAAATCTCACAGTGGTGCAGTCCTGTACACGTTACGAATTCGAATGGAGGCGTTCCGATCGTTACGGAAATTTGGGCAGTGTTTCTCGGTCGCAGTGTTTCTCGGTGAGGATCAGGTAGCATCAGATCTGCTGAAAGATGGACAGATTGTGTTAGAAGAACTAGCCGCCCTGTTTACGAGGAGTCTCCTGGTGGAAAGAATACCACAATCTTGGAAGAATGCTAACATCATCTTGATACATAAGGAAAGAGATGACAAGGACTTGAAGAATTACAGGCCGATCAGCTTGCTCTCAGTAGTATACATGCTATTTACAAAGAGAATTGCTAACAGAGTTAAGAAAACATTAAAATTCGACCAAAGGAACAAGCAGGATTTTAAACAGGCTACTCAACAATCGACCACATTCATACTACCAATCAGGTAATAAAGAAATGCTCAGAATACAGCCAACCACTATACATAGCCTTCATTGATTACGTGAAGGCATTTGATTCAGTAGAAATATAAGCAGTCAGGCAGACACTGCGGAATCAGGGCATCGATGAAGCATATATAAACATCCTGGAAGTAATATACAGGGGATCAACTGCTACCATAGTGCTTCATAAAGAAAGCAACAGAATACCAATAAAGAAGGGTGTAAGGCAGGGGGATACAATCTCCCCAATGCTATTTACCGCGTTCTTACAGAGGTTTTCAGATGCTTAAAATGGGAACAGTTAGGCATCAGATTTAATGGAGAGTACCTTAGTAACCTGCGCTTCGTCGGTGACATTTCATTGCTGAGTAACTCGAGCGACTAATTGCAACTTATGATTAAGGAATTAGACAAGGAGAGCAGAAAGCTGGGTCTTAAAATTAGTCAGCAGAAAACGAAAGTAATGTACAACAACCTCGGAAGAGAGCAGCGCTTCCAAGATAGGTAATATTGCACTTCAAGTTGTAAAAGACTATGTCTACATACAGCAGGTAATAACCGCGGAGCCGAACCACGGATTTAACTAGAAGAATAAGAATGGGGTGGAGCACATTTGGCAAGCACTCTCAAATTATGACAGGTAGATTGCCATTATCCCTCAAGAGGAAGGTATATAACACCTGCATCTTGCCGGTACTTAGCTACGGAGCAGAAACCTGGAGACTTACAAGGAGGGTTTCAGCTTAAATTGAGGACGATGCAGCGAGCAATGGAAAGAAAAATGGTAGGTGTAACCTTAAGAGACAAGAAGAGAGCAGAGTGGATTAGGGAACAAAGGGGGGTTAAGGATATCATAGCTGAAATAAGAAGAGGAAATGGACATTGGCCGGGCATGTAGCGCGTAGAAAGGATAACTGCTGGTCATTAAGGGTAACTAACTGGATTTCCAGAGAAGGCAAGCGGGTTAGGAGGAGACGGAAGGTTAGGTGGGTAGATGAGATTAAGAAGATTGCGGGTATAAATTGGCAGCAGCAAGCACAGGACCGAGTTAACAGGCGGAACATGGGAGAGGCCTTTGTCCTGCAGTGGATGTAGTCAGGCTGATGATGATGATCTATCGTCAGCTAAATGTATTATTAGTTTCTTATATCTGTTGTTTTCTTGCATGAAGTGAGTGCCGCTCGTCAGACTATTTATAAATTACACAAAAACACGATTCGTCCAGTTGTCCAACAGAATCTTTTACACCAAAAATACTGTTTACAGAAAATAATCCGGCCTAAATACTTACTGGGTTTTGTGAATTTTATTCACAATTTTCTACAATGAAGGCATACTTTTGCCAGTCCAAGTACTTAGTAGAATGTCCAATGAATATTTTGATGAATTGATGCTGTTTTGTTTTGGAAAGATTATTCTTCTGTTGGCACCAACACCACTGCATATAGTAGACTTTTTCGAAGCTTCTAAACATGTGTTACATTTATCAACTCTCTAATTTATGTATTGCTTTTTTTACAGGTCAGCTATTTGTTCCTGAATAATGTCAGCAGTGCTGAATATGATGTGCACAAAAAGCTACATCATATTGTACTAATGTGGTTACAAAGAAGTACCACTGAGTAGCTGAGAACAATTTTCTATTTAAAATCCTGCAAATGTGCTGCTGCTTCTGCTTGGTGAGCATAAACAGAAAATAAATAAATTGGTTTAGCTTTGCCTTTTATTGGCAACATCCTTATGAATTTTTGTTATGTCATTACTGTGATATATTGGTTGCTGTTCTTTACAAGGTGTTTCGCTAGGACCAGAGTATTGCACATACTGCATCACTGATGTTTGTTTGAAAACTTGACCTCCTAATACAATTTTTTTTTCAGTTTATATATCCTACCCTCCTGAAAAAAGTCAACTTCTGCCATCTAGAGCAAGATTGAGTATTGAAACAGTTCACTGCCACCATATTCCCCACTTAAATTTTGTATATTCTTATTTCCGGTTCTATCAGCTTGCCGAATTGTGGGAGCCAGGGCACATAACCAATTTCATCGTTTAAACAGTCTTCTGCACGCCTCAATTTTCAGGCCCATGCGCCGCCGTAAGAGAGTGCGCCGGTGAGCAGGTCGGAAGTTTATATAGAAGGTCATGGTCAAGATGTACAAACCAAGAACAGAGTGCTGAACCATTGTCGCATTCTTGTTAAGGTGTCTATGAAAAAGCTGAATCTTTATTAAAAATAACTGACTGCATTTGAGAGCAACAAAATAATGACTTCAAACTAAAAAAACTTTTCACACGGTTTGATCCACGCGTTGCTTTTCAAGATAACGACAGGCTCGCTTCACTGACGAGTCCAACTCCGAGTGACAGCTTTTACATTGGATTCAGACACGAAAACTCGAGCTGATTCTTGTAGCCTGCAGAGAACAAAAAACAAAGAAGTCTCTCATTTACAACTAATTAAGATGAACACAGCATGCATTATATAGCAGAGGAAGAAAGAAAACTGCACATGTATCAAATTAAGCTCGATACAAAAAAAGTAGTGCACATCACATTAATCAACAAGAAACGATTCTGAATACTATGAATCTCTACAATAAGCGTTATTTTGACATTTAGTGAGCTACAAAATGTTGGAGGGGTTGGTAACAAGACTGCACACATGTCGCTGCTGTCAGAGCTTGAAGCTGAAGCGCTGTTGTTTTTTCAGACTGGTCTCTTATACCAGTGGCAGTCCAGCCAGTTTAGGGTTGAGCAACTTTTGTAGCAGAAAAAAAGATTTTGTGGAGAAACATTTTTCCCGAACAAACTGTATTTACGAGCAGATTCCGAGCTGAACAGAATTTGTTACAGAGCAGGTCTGGAGCAATAGAATTTGGGATCACTTAGAGTATAACAACAGTAAGTCTGCAAGTTTTTGATGCACATTGATTATTAATCAGCATCATTAAGAAACAATGTGTGCAGGCTTTACCGACACGAAGGCATGCTTTCTTTGTTGAGCAGTAGTGAAAAGGCCAGAAGCATTTAGGGTTGAGAGCTGGACTAGTTCGTGACTGATCATTATGCCGTAAGGTTAAGCAGCACACTTTTTAACACGAACAACAGGGACTATAAGGACATATCAAGTGTCGTGTTTTTCTTTTTTTTGTTCCGTGTTAAAAAGTTCGCTACTCAATCGGCAGCATATAGTTCCTGCAAGCGACAAGGGTCAACACGCGATTCCTTTCTAGTTTTGAGAAAGAAAAGATGGTGCTGCCCCCTCCGCCCAACAATCATTACTCGAAATTGTGAAAAAAGTTTTATTAGGAACCTGCGACTACAGAAAACTAGTTTGAATACATACGGTTCACTTGATTCTCATTAGTATACCGTTCAATATTTGTAAAACAATTTTGAATTGCGTTTCAGATATCACGACGACACCACCGCAGGCTGTATGTGCATTCCCGTAGTCAGAATGGAAGGAATCCGTGCGGCAGCAGCCCACCAGATTCATTGCTGCCCCTAATTTCGCGCTGAGAACACTCGCAAGTGTAGTTTGCAGCAAATGCACAAGTGGAACAGGTTACAGTGGTTTGGGAGCAGTCCGGGAAGCAGACAAAAGTGCGCTTCGTTGAAGGCATCCAAAAAGATGTATTGGAGCAGTCAGAACATTCAGAGCAGCTATAGCCCCGTTAGCACTTGTGAAGCAACATTTGTCCAATGCTGCATTGATTGACATGTGGGATTTAACATCCCAAAACCAGCATATGATTATGAGAGATGCCATAGTGGAGGGCTTCGACCACCTGGGGTTCTTTATTGAGCACCCAAATCTGAACACATGGGCCTAACATTTCTGCCTCCATCGATATGCAGCCGCCACAGCCAGGATTCGATTCCACAACCTGCGGTTCAGCAGCCGAGTACCTTAGCCACTAGACCACCACCGCGGGGCTTGTCCAATACGGCATTTTTTCAAACACTAAGCTAAATTGTGCAACAGCCTTACCATTGTGACAGCAACTATATGGACACTCTTGCCTTCGCCGTCATGTCTCCTATGTTAACGCATGTATTCATAACATGCCCCGCGCATCGTATGTTCCACCTGCAGGTAAAAGCATGTAAGGAGCAGCGACAAACACGGCTGAAGCCGTGATAAAATGAGCCACCATATCTCAGTCGCTCAAGGAGCGCTGGCCGTCAGAGCAGAGAGAAAGAGCCCTACCCGTCTTGTTGATTGATATGTGGGCTTTAACGTTTCAAAACCACCATATGATTATGAGAGACGCCGTAGTGGAGGGCTCAGGAAATTTCGACCACCTGGGTTTCTTTAACATGCACCCAAATCTGAGCACACAGGCCTACAATATTTCCGCCTCTATCGGAAATGCAGCCGCCGCAGCCGGGATTCGAACCCGCGATCTGCGGGTCAAAAGCCGAGTACCTTAGCCACTACACCACCGCGGTGGGGCCTACCCGTCTTGTTAAGAACAAGATACAAGACACAAGAGACAGGGGAAGGAGGGTGTCGCTCGAGCAGCTGACGCGCACGCTAACTCGGCAGCCATCAGTGGGCGGTTCACACACCCAGAATACTGCCAATATTGCAGGGACCTGAAAGCTACCACGTGCTGCGCTCTTATCGTAAAGAGACTGGGCGAAACGAGCATCTCTCACTGGCACGACCGTACTCTCTTACACCAGCACTTTGCAGAGTGAAGCGGGAACGGATTTAAGAAGGCTGCCAGCTTCGTTTTGTGTAACATGTGGGAATCGAGAGCGCCCTCCTTCCAGGCGCCTCGTTCCCCAGCTGCCGCGCGCACGCTGACCGCGTAGCCCGGGTGCGTATAATCACCGGCATTCACCAAGATGGCTGTCAGGGCGCCTCTCGGTCTGGGTGAGTCAAGCTTCGGCTCCGTCCCATGCTAGCATGTCCGGGCACGCTACGCTGTGCGGCCCTACGTCACAACGCAGCACCATTTCCCTTCGGGCTGCACGTGACATCCTCCTCTCCTACAAGCTATGTTGCGCCCGACGATTCGCTCGTTGCGGCAGATGCTCTCAGGCCTCCACGAGAGGTTGACGCGCTGCTTAGAAGGCGGCTTCTCATTCGTGCATTCGACTTCGGCCCTTGTGCGGGAGTCGTCGCGCCCTAGGCAAGCGAACTTGCTCGGTATTGCGCCTAACCTCCCTGTCTTTCCTCTTTCAATCCTTCTCCTCCCGGTATTGCGGAGTTCCTTGTATGGCCTGCAAGCCTGTGAGTGTCGCACTGTGCTGCATCTTGGGTTAATAAACCCGTTGTTCTTGTTTTTCTGCCTTGTGCATGGTTTTTGCGGCGTGTCGGAGAAAACGACGAACCTGGCCGCAGCATTGTCGCACGCAGCGTCAGTGGAGGACGTCGCATCCTTACACGGTTGCGCTTAGTAGGTAAGCCTAGTGAGAGCCTATCTCCGCATAACTGGCGCCCAACGTGGTTTCGGCATGGCTTCAAAGCAGACCCCTTCGAGGCGCTCGTTCCTGTTCGATCCTGTGGCAACGGACTTGACCTCGTTTTAGGCGGACGGCTGCTACAGCACGGGGTACGGCACTCTCGGCGACCCTCTGCTTTCATTCACCGGGAGTATCCCTTTTTCGGGGCCCCGTACAGTGATGCGAGTCGCTTGAACGAGGACCACAGTCCTAGCCAAGCCAGTAATGGGCTGTATCAGCTGTTCGAGACTCACGCGCTTACGAGCCCGTCCCCGGCGCAGTCTCTGCTCGCTGGCCTTTCCCCATCAGCAGCACGGTTGACAGCTCAAATCGCCGCACCCAGTCCTTCCTACCGAGGGCACTCAGGTGTTGGCGGGAACGCGCTTACTGACCCATTGTGGCCGCGAGCGCAAAGGGTGGACAATGTCGTTCGCGAGCCAGCTCGCTTAACCGACGTCGCCGCGTTCACCGACGTTCGCTGGCCTGAGACTCGCGTAGGCGACGCTTTCGATGGACGTTGCCCACCGTGCTTCGCTGTCAACCCGTTTGCCAGTCGCGTGAGGCCTCAAGCACCAGTCGGAGCGCAAACCCTACCCTCCTCCATGCCGTGTACTGACCCTTTTCGGTCGGATCTGCATGCTGGGGAACAGGGGCGCACACCTGTTACGGCCGCACCCGCCTCGGAGCAATCACCGCTGCACGCAACTGCGGCGCAGCTCCTAAACGTTCTGTTGGAAGTGGCGTGCTCGCAGCCTTGTACTTTAAAGGGAGACCCCGAGTCCCCTCAGCAAAGCGTTCTGACTAGCTTAAAGGTACCTCTGCCTGAGTACAACGGTTATTCGGACCGCATCAGTGCCACAGAGTACTTCGAGGTGCTGCACCCTTATCAGCAGGCTACGCGGCTGAGCGACAGCGTTATGCTAGGCTCTGTTTTTTGCCTATGTCGCTGACAGCCCAAGCGGTGAGGTGGTACCGGCTCGTCGGCCACCAAGCTCCTTCGATGGAGGAGTGTAGGGCGCTCTTCCGTAGCGAATTCCTTTTTCCTGAATACGAGCGCCGCATGTGTCGCGAGTTAGAGCTTCGCACACAGCATCCCGACGAATCTTTTCTCGAGTACGTTCGGGCTTTGCAGGAGCTCTACTTCCTTGCCGATCCTACGGCATCAAACGCCGAGAAGGTGGAGCGAGCCATACGTCAGGCTCATCCAACCTTAGCCGCTTACCTTCGGAGCGCCCGTTATCATGACCTAAACGAGCTGGCAAATGATGCGAAGTGTATTCAGGGCGATATTTGGGCGGCACGAGCCTATCGCCCACCGCCACCGCCGCCCGCATCTCTCGAGCCTCGTTGCGCGTGGGCTGGTCGTGACTCGTCACACCGGAGTTCCCCAAACCATGAGGCGGCCTCTGCCGCGAGAGACAGACACGCTCGACGTGTCGGACCGCGCTCTGGACCTGTACTCGTACACCTGGGCGGCCACTGTTGCCCGGCAGTGTGAACAAGAACGGAAACCCCGTGCTCCAGTGCACGAGGGGATATCCGATCGCGGAGCCCCCACTTCGGCTAGCGAATGGACACCTCGTAGCTCTAAAGGTTCGCCAAAATTCCCTCTGTTGGAGGAAAAGGCGTTGTCTGCTTTCGTTGCTGTGAGCGTGGTCACACCGCGCGTGAGTGCAACGCGCCCCAACCGACACAAGGGCCTGCTCGCCTATTGGGAAACGGGGTGAGCCGTCGGTGAGCTCCCCCTTGCCGGCGGCTGCAGCAATAAGAGAGCACGGAAGCGTAACACAACCCCTGGCACCGACGGCGTGTCGCGCTGGACATGCCGTGCCAGCGCCGCTCATCGCCCTTACGATTGCTGGTCGAGAGTTTGCGGCACTGCTGGATAGCGGGGCTTCGATCTTGCTCTTCAGCGAAGAGGTTAGGGCTCATTTGCGCGACCGCTCTGTCCGCATTC